TTGAATGGCATCTTGTTCTACGAGTGCATAGTTCGCCTCTGCAGCGTATTCGGCTGAAAAAGTATTGAGTTCTTAAAATTAATAAGTGATCAAGTGCAATTTCAACCATTGGCTCATTGATTTATTGATTCATTTATAGGCTTACTCTGGGACCTTAAGTTGTCTTAAGTCGCCTAAAGTCGCCTTAAGTCGCTATTGGTTACGCAATGTTTTAAGGGTTCCACCCTTCCCAATTGACCCCATTCACCCCACTCTAATCATGACTATTGTGTTTATTGCAAGGGATTCTGTAAATATTTTTAAGGTTTATGGAGAGACTGTTGCCAACTTTGATTTTATCGCTTCAGTCAAATAAAATCGCTTTAAGTCGTCTTAAATCGCCCAAAGTTAGTAAGTGATTTTCGAGTCGACTAACCGTATAGCTGTCTAACTCCTCGGCAACTGATTATTTTATATAAAATAGGACGAAAGAAAAAACAGATGAACGAAGAGGCGAAATAGCGAGTGAAATAACAAAGTGTAACGTACTTCAAAAGCAATTTTCTCGGAAATCGTAGCGACGATGTTTACTTTAGTTCTCACGAGCTTCTCAAAAACACTCATTTTTCTTAGCATATTTAAGCATCGAAATTCACTCACTTCTTGGTATATAATTCTTTCTGCACCCTTTCCCAAATTCTAACAACCATGATACAGTAGATATGCATTGCCCAGGAAGAAAATGACTCAAAGGGTTGTTGTGCAACAGAAAGCTTTTTTCAACATATTTCTTAACAGATTTAAAAACTATTCTAAAGATAGAAACGCCTTTGACGTACCTTTTTCTTCCCCTTGATCAGCGACGTCTTCTAAAGCTTCATTTAAGTCTTGAAGCTCGAATTCCGCTGCTATCTTCCCAGGATTAGCAGCATTTTCTTCAAAGGTTTCAGCACTTACGACAGCAAAAACTGTCAGAAAAGCAGTGAGGAATTTATAAACTCTAGCCATCTTTGGTTTGCTACCGAACGATGTACCCAAAGCTGAAAATCACTCCCTTTTATACAGTACAAAAAGGTTCCAAAATAGCACCTTTTAGTGGTCTAGACTAATTATTCACTTGGACATTTTAAAACCCTCAAGCAATAGTAAGGTGTTTGGAAATCTCAATTTTCTCTTATATTGCGATACCTAGCGGAATTGAGGAAGATATAAAAATATGTCCGTTTATCATCGGAAAAATCCATGATTTAACTAATAAGACCAGTCTTACAATTAGTTATAACTAGAAGTTATAACCATTAAAATTTTGTGAACATTTGTTTAGTTTCTCTGGTAGACTCAGGAGTAGTGAAGTATCCTCTTGTTTTAACTCGACAACTGACGTGAACGCCAGCACATATTGTATTGAGGTGTACTGTATGAACTGTATTGACAGTCATTCAATTTTGAAAGATGACAAAAAAGCGACTGTCTGAATTGTATATTGTCAGTAAGTCTTTTGAAAAGAAAGAAATGACAAATTTAAACAACCACAGCATGTTCGATTGTATTATGGATGCGAGCAAAAGAAAACCTTTCATGTATACGTTTTTATGAAACAGACCAATCACGACCGACTTACGCCACTTGAGTCTTACAGCAAATAACATCACGGCAAAACTGACCAATCATTTTACACGAACTGGACTAAGGACATTCTACTGACAACAACTATTCACTTGACTCTGATGATGACTTCCGCACAGGTTGTCGAAACGTCAGTCACTACCACCAACAACAGTCCTTCTCAGGACTATACTCACCCGGACGATCGAACTACGCTTCCACATGTTACCCCCGGGTTCAAACCATTTACCGAATTATGTTTCAGTTCTGTAGAACCAGACCAAGAGTTCCATAGTACACACAACCGGTGTTTCACGTCACTAGTTCGAAAATTTTATGTTGGACTAGGGTAGCTTATATTCGTTGAGAAAAGTTCAAACAAACTCTGATATTGGTCTTGATAAATATTCTATGAAACAAAAAGTTCACTTCATCGCATTATCAATATTTTCAATCTTATTGTAAACAACCGCAGATTCAAATCATACTTGACATTACTAATATTACTGTACTTCTCCGGTTTGACGTAAACTTTTATATTTGAGAGCTTACAGTGCAGTCACTTTGTAGGTTTCTATGACGGTTTTTTAACTGTTCATCGAGAGTGGTAATTAGTTTCTCTTTACAATATCACTCCCGAATCACACATAAAAGTCACCAAAATAAAGGAAATGAACTTAAAAGTCTTGATTGTTTAAAAAAACTCTCCTCGTCTGCATTTTAGGGAATGTAAAAACTATGAAGAACAATTTACATATGCAGGATGTAAAGGTGTCATGGGTCAGTTAAGGAAGAAATTTTTACATATCGAAGGACAACAACGTTAAAGCTGTACTGCGCTGCTCTGCAAGTCATTCCAAGACTGCAAATGATCCCGGAAGACGCGAATGATTCTTAAAACTGAACTGAAAAGAAATCTCACCGTAAGACCGTGAATGATCGCGTTACGATTACTAAACTTCAGAGACCGAAGTTTGCTAAAAAATTGTTTTCACTCTTTCTCCAGTTCGGTTGAGGCATTTATCTGTAGTTTCGTGGAAAAAAATTTACTTAAAATCATTAGAATTTAGTGAGACATCGGGAAAAACTGTTTTGGAGAAAAGCTAATAGAGAGCTAAAGGTGCTTTTATCATATTACGAACGTCAGAGGTAAGCTACTCCTTTGCTTTTTTAGCGGTAAACTTCATCCAATACATCAATAAATCAATATCTTTGGACTTGTTTGGGTAGAGGCTTGGAATTTCTACAAGTTTGTTCAGATAATGTTTGGTTGTAAATTTGAGGAGCTTTACTAATTTTTTTTGCAGAAACACGAATCAAATGGGTTAAGAACACAGCCAAAAATGGTCTGAAGTGTTTACGCAATAGAGGAATTTCATGGACCCTTTTACGAAAGTGCAATATAACTGAAACACCACTGCGGAGGGTACAAGAATAAGAACAACTGATTTCCACCCATAAAAAACACGTGAGGCGTTTTCAACTAACTCAGTGAAAAATAGGTCTCCCGCGAATTTCAAAAGGCTATTTTTATTTGGGTCTTTGGGGTCCAAAGCTCGTCGCTTTTTAGTGGGCAGCCTTATGAGTGGGGTGGCAACTGCTCTGATGAAGTGTCAAAGGCTAATAAAACTTTGGAGGCCGAAAACTATGGCTTTATTTTTGTGTGGATTCGCTAACTTTTAGCGAAGTAATAGGGTGTATAAATTTTGTCTTTTTACGAAAATTGGCCATAATGTTAACTGGCTATTAATGCGCTAGAGTTTGTGAGGTATTTCTTACAAGCTAATTACTTTTTCTTTAAAGCCTTCTTACGTGACGAAGATCGGCGAATAATCCATTCGCCAAGGTTCAAGGTAAATTCTCTCGGCTATCAATCACAATATCGAAAAAGCTTCACACTTTTCCATTCCATCAGCCGCTGATTAATTCTGTGCAAACACGAAGGTAGACCAATTCAACTATCAAACATCATCAATTTTACGTTTAGGGGTTTGCGCGGGCTTAATATTAGACAAAGGTCCGGTTGTTCGAAGGATGGATAACGTTACCCATTGGATAAATCCCAATCTTCAACAATAACTGCATTTATTTCAACACGATAAAAAATTCAGCAAAACTGATGTGGTCGTGGATAGCGCAGTACGTTTTGTTAACACATCCGCTGGATAGCGATTTATGCGATGGATTTTATATTTTTTTTAAAGTTACGGCCGGTGATATATAGGTGGTTTGCACGTTACGTCATTGTTGCCATGTTGGTGGACGTAAACAATAGATGTTTTGATGTACGCTATTGTTTATAATGTTTTGTTGTCTTTGTTTTACGTCACTCGTGAGCTTCACAGGTTTTTACACCGAGGATGAGCCATAATTAGAGGATAGGGGAATATGTCGTTCCGTTTGACCTATAAGCGCTTTCCTTTCATGAAAAAAAAAAAAAAAAATTGCCGAGGTCATCGAACAAGAAGTTCTGCGTGGATTTCTACTTCAGAAGCTGACGAATGTCAACTACCTTGGTCATTTATTATGTATGGCCGTATAAGCAGATGCTCTTGGCCTAAAAAAGTAAGCGATGGGAAACGAATGAAATATACTTCCTTACTTGAAACCAGGATTCAAGTCCACTAAAACGGATTGTGAGCAGGGAGGTTCATGTTTAATGATGGATTAAGAATACTAAAAATAATTAGAACATAGCTAGCAGAACCGCGCAATCAAATTCAATATTTGTAAGCGTGCTCAAAATCCCGATAGTGCACGCTGCCAGCGTCAGCAAATCGCTTCGCCAGAAATTTTTTTTTCGCGCGAGCGGCCGATTGTTAGCGCGGGAAAAATAATATATTTCGCGACAATAATGGATACAAACAGAAACTCGGCCTACTAGTCCGAAAACGAAGACAATGTTTCGACCTTTTCCCTTGGGCTAGAGTTCTTAAATGAGGCAGAAAAAGAGAAAAACAAAGGAAAAGGAGACTCGGCATCAGCGCCGTCACGATTCGCTTCAACTGATATTGTTGTCCATTTTTCCCGTCGGATTTGATGCACAATTCTACCGGCTATGTTCTAAAACAATTGGTTCATGCTTTCAGCTGTGCACTATCGAGTTATGGAGCACGTGGGAAGTTTGGAGAGCACTCAAGAAGCTAGAGTTGCCCTCGGCTATCGCCTCGGGCAACTCTTACGCTTCTTTCGTGCTCTCCAAACTTCCCGCGTGCTCCATAACTCGATAGTGCACGCTAAAGCATGAACCAATTGTTAAATAGTAGTGGTTAAATTATTTTTTTATGTTTACATGTGGGTTTAAATACTCAATAGCATGCATCTGAAGTTTCCTCATTTGGTTCAATACCACACTTTAGAACACCTTCTTTAATAGTTGCCCAAGGCATGCGCTTAGTGGCAAAACCCCTCCCCACCTTGCCATGTTTATTGATTGCTATTGCTCCCCCCTGACCACCTACTCGTTCAAACATCTTCCCAAGTGCTTTAGTGCAAGCAAAGTCAGGGGGGTAACCTCCTTCCATGTTACACACCACTTCTCTTGCCAGCAAAATTTTCATAATGGATTCTCCATGTCCTGTTGTTGATACTGCACCCTCCTTGTTTGCATAACCTCCACAGCCAATCAGTGGACTGTCACCAACACGTCCAGGCATCTTGAGGGAAATTCCACCTGAAGTTTAAAGTGTTGAATTTGATTTTTGTTCTTTTTCTGTCATACTACTGTACTGCTGTTTATTTCCAGTACTCTTGTGGTATCAAGTGGCTCTGCGGTTGAGGTATAACTAGATTCAGTTGATGCTTCTTGTGCTTTTTGGATGATAGGAATAAATTTATTTCACAAGGTCTAATAAAGTGAGTACACTGGGCATTGTGTCCGAGTAAATCCTCTTCTTCATTACAATGGGTCACCAAATGCTATCAGCAGGTGATGACAGCAACAAACTGGCCATGCTAGTTAGCTACATACCTAACTAAGCAGACATCTTGAACTCCACCACATAGTATTTGAAGTGATTTAAAAAGGACTGAGTTCTTGTGCCCAAATGGGTATTATTTAATAACAATTCAGTTGTTTGTTTGCTGGGAGAAATCAATAAAAACTTACAGCTCATTTAAGGTACCAGACTGAACCCACTTTAATTAAGTTCGATCTCTCTTCACACCAAGTGCTGTCTTTATTAGGTAGTAACACCTGAATTTACTTCTTGCAAAAGCACTAATCACTGTCTGCAACCTCTCAAAAAATTTGAAAATTCGAACAGTCAGTATCATGAGTTTGGGTTTTAGAATCCTATTTTCCATTACCTCCTGGAAAGCAAAGAGGAACTCTGCTCATGCCACACACGACACTGTGACACTAATTTAATACAGCTCACACACAATAAAAGCCAACATTTTGAAATCATTAGCTTTAAAGCTGACCTGTAGAAGTTGCACACGCTAGCCGACCAGATGAGTCCAAAGCAACTGCACCAACAGTATCATGTCCAGGATTAGCAACAGTAGCAGTATTACATGCCGTTGTATTATAACCACTCAAAACAGCTTCATTGAAATTTTTGTTTCCTTCCAATTGTAGTCTTGATTCTTCACTGATAAGTGCAAGAGGGTCAGATAAAATTGGAAAATCTATTTTCTTTGCATACTTCAAAGCACCATTGCCAACCAATAGAGAATGAGGAGTGTTTTCCATCACATGACGAGCTAAAGACACAGGATTTGCTATACCTGTTACTGCTGCAACAGCACCTGAATTAGAAAGAACAAAATCTCATCTATCAAGCTAAAGAACCAAATCTAATATGGGATTAAAAGAAGAGGGATAAAACAGAAAGTGGAAAAATAGCTGTATAAAGAAAACCTCTCAAATTTAACTACACTTTAGGGCATTTGATATAAAAGGATGTCACTGTTAATTCTGGATTAACAATTTCTGTAGAAACATTCAAATGCAAGTGAATCCAGTACCAAAATATTTCATTGTGGTAATAAATATGGAAAGATCTATGTATATTTTAGTGTAAACCTTGTTTAACTTCACCTGATTCTAACGTCTGCCCATCCATGATCAGAGCATCAACTTCAACAGTCAACTCCTCTGTTAGAACTGAACCATGACCAGCATCAAAAGTTGGATCATCTTCCAGAACACGGACAGCTGCCTCAACTGCGTCTACAGCAGTTCCACCCTTAGTTAAAATGAATTCATTCTTTATTGCCCACAATCTGATTATAGGTACTTCCTCCACTCTACAATGTGGCTGCTATGTGTTTTATCATAACTTACTCATTTCATAACAGGCATTATGTATCATATCAAGCTAGCATCTTTCTCTCCCCCCCTCCCGGATATTTATATGGATATTGGATATTGATATGGATATTGTATTGAAATT